GCAAAAGAGAAAATCACTTTTATAAGGCGTGAACTATTAGTATGAGTGAAGTGGAAGAATTGCATTAATGAAGAAACATGTTATATCCTAATACTTCATTCATGACTTACGGAAAGATAAAGATTGATTACATCTTTTATTTTGGTCTATTTGGAGCTATTCCTCCGGTAGTCTGTGCGCCAATCGTGTTTATTTGCACATTCCAGGTTGGGATTCATTATGGACTGACATCATTTGGAGGAACATCGGAAACCTAGAGGCTCTGGACAGCTGTTTCGTCCTCGTGTGGGACTCCTCAGCAGTGCGCGGGCATGACTCTGCACCCCAAGAATCGAAGCCAGGACCTTCAGGTTCCGTGGCCAGTACGCTACCATTGACCCACTGGGACGAGATCCAGTGGTCCATATTTTCGACATCTGTCAGTTCACGATGCAGCACGACGTGCATCCAATGTCATTGATGAGTAACTATCCTCATGTTCCAGGTAGTTAGCTCCACTGATCACGACTTCTCATTGGAACTCCAGGATTCATCTCTCGAAGCTAGTCCCCAATAAGCGCTAGATTAGTTCAATCTGGAGATTTGTGAAGATTTATTAATCTATTCCAGGTCGGAATTCATCATGGACTGACATGAACTGGAGGAACATTGGAAAACTGGGAGAGGTGAAGGTCCTGGGTTCGATTTCTGGCTAGGTCATGGTGCGCGCTGATGGGGAGTCCTATACTAGGGCGAAACAGTTGTCCAGTGCTCCCAGGTTTCTTATATTCCTCCAACGGATATCGGTATACGATGAATTTCAACCTGAAATCATTTAATGAATCTCCATAAACCTCCAGATTGTATTTCCACATTCGACTGAAACTCGTTTGATTGGCTTTGCATTCAAGGTATTTGACTAACTCTGTCGTCTATAATTACACTTTTTATAAGTTTTTCTCTCTTTCCTTACTAATTTTTTACTGTCATGATACATAAACGCGCAAGTGAGGATTATCGGATTACTAAAAATGAGAAATTAGCCTTTCACGTAAAATATCACGTTTGTTCAGATGGAATACTATTATGTTTCATAGGCTATGCTGTTTTCTATATCATACCACTCCCATTCAATTGATACGACTGATTTGTTGAGCAGCTGTCAGCAGAATCACTAGTCTATTTATCTTGTCACGGTAGATACGATGCATCTGGCTTATAAAGCCTGCGTCTATAAACTTCTTTTAGTTAAGGCTTGTATTTGTACAACGTTACAATAGTTAAGTATCATGGGATAAGAGTTTTTCATTTCTTTACAGATGTGTATCTTGTCGTTCCATGGCTATCAAAAGTTTAAGAAGCTGTGAAATATCAATCGTCACTCTATTTTCAACTGGTTGGGTTGTTGATTTGAACTGTATTCAGCTTGCAGAGGTTCGGACAGTCAATTGATAGCTCTGACAACCATTTAATGGGCATGCTTCATAGCTTAACACATAAACTTTTATGCGTTTTCTAAGCACTGTCTTCCAATAGATTGCCCATTGGTTGACGAGATATTCGATAACCTATTGAAGAACGAGTTTTCTACACTGCACTCCGTTATATCCTGTTATACACTTATGAGATATGGCAGTTAAAAGTGGGAGGTATAAAGAGATTACTGGGTTTTGATTACTTGTCTTAGTAGCATTGTTCACGCATGGTGGAATTACCATGTAAGTAATATTGTGATGAGGTGAAAAGCTAGTCAGTCGATGAGGTTGTAAACCTTCACCGACTGAGATGGCTTAAACATATGTTGCTCATGCCAATCGACCATCTACTTTGACGTGAAGTTTCATTTCGCATAGGGTTGGGTTAAAAGAAGGCTTAATTCATTGTGTCTCTGACTGTTGATGTGAGCCATGTAGGGAGGTGTAGACTATCTGGTTGGGGTTTTCGAGACGTTAGGAATCTAGTTAACGACACGGCTGACAATCGGTGATAATAACCCAGATTTATCCAATCTTTGACATCTTATGCTTCAGCATTTTCACTAACCTTGACTTTCAATTTCTTCTCCCTCATACATATTTTTTTCCATTTTGCGGTGACTCCTCTAACTACTTGTTCTTTGCATGCTTCTTTGAAGTGTGGCAGCTTGAACCAATTCTCTTGTGTGCGAGGTTCTAGGCTGTTTTTGTCTGTCTATCTGTCGAATCGATTTGGCACTCCCTCTTTTTTTATTCAGTAGGAAAATGAGTTTATTTTACTTTTCAAAGTTCATAATCGTAAGTATTTCTGTGGGTAATGTGTTAGGCAGGTTGTAGGTCATCTTCCTAACGCAAATGAGCTACAACTCCACTCTCAGACATAGTTTGCTGTCAGCAAACTATGTCTGAAAGAAAAAATTCACAGGATTATTAAGAAATTAAGTACCATTCGGAATAAAATTGAACAACTTAAATGTAAAATTATGAAGATAGTAAACTGCAGAGACTATGGATTTATAATAGAAACATCAGACAAAGCAAGATTAGCTACTTTCTAGAAATCTAGAAGCAATCAAATCAAAAAGTTCAATAAACTAATGCAAGAAAAATATGCTTCGGAAAACAATGAAATTACAAAGGAAACATCATCGAACATCGATAGAACAAAGTGGGTAGTCAATCTCTCCTCGAAAGCCTTAAGCTCAGCTGAGATGAAAGTACTTGAAGAAGGACTAAACTTCAACATAACAGTAGATCATCTAAAACCAGAAGATGTCATACCTAGCATAGAAGTAGCATTAAGCTCGGTGGATGTGACAACTGCTGAACAGGTTAGAGCGCAGTGTGCATTAGCACTTAAAAAACAAAAGAAGACACAGCGAAACTTAACGAAAATGGAAAATTCAGCTTTAAACCATCTACGAAAGGATAATAGTATAGTAATTGCTAAATCTGACAAAGGTAACTCAACAGTAGTTATGGACAAATCGGATTATCTTAAAAAAGTGGATGAACATATCCAAACAGGGCCATATGAAGAGATTAAGAAACCTATAGACACTGTCATGAATAAAATTAAGAAATCTACGACAGATCTGATACGCCGACTGAAGCCATCTCTAGGCAAGTCCGAATGGTTTACTTTAATGCCAAAAACTAATAATCCTAGCAGAATTTACGGTACTATTAAGGTTCATAAAGCAGGTTATCCCATTAGGCCGATAGTTGACTTCCGGAATACAACTCCACTCTTTTGAATTGAGATGCTGCATCTTAGTTATCGGATTAGTTACTTGAAACAGTGTATTTGATGGTAGCATATTACTTTGGTATACACTCCTGTGTAACCAGGGCTTTCTAATCACAATTCAAGTGTAGTTTATAAATTGTCCTAAGTTTCTCACTGACTTTTTAGTCTATAGATGATTAAATCAAGTAATAGTCAGATACTGATTGGAGTTTTAAGACTGTTGGATAAATGATTGATCGGGAATGGACATTATAAGACTCAAAAATAATTCTACGATCTTGCTATTGATTGATATACTTGTTATTCTCCATTGTTCTATTGGATTGGATTGTTCGAACTCTGTGGGCATATCGGCTCCTACGTGGATGCCTAGATATTGCCTGAATGTTGATTATGATTATTTGCTTGGTTTTGGCTTGCAGAAGAATCCAGGATGCGCGTTTCGTCCTATTTAGGACCTGTTAACTGGATGTACCTGCACCCCAGCGAGTGATGTTCCCACCGAGTCTCGAACCTCGTTCCCGTCTTTTCAAACACCGAAGCTTTATCCACCATGCCATAGAGGGATGATAGCCATTTCTTGTCGAACAATTTGATCCAATAAAAAAAACGGAGAATTACAAGTATATCAGTAAATAGTAATAACTAATACCCGTTGTACAAGAAGTGGCTATCGTGCCTCCGTGACATAGTGGATAACTTCTTGGCGTTTGAAACGATAGGTACAGGGTTCAGGTCTCAGTGGGAACAACATCACTCATTGGGATGCAGGTACATCCAGCTTATGAGTCCCCAGTAGGACAAAGCACGTGTCCTGGACTCTTCTGCTAGAGCAACTTAGCAAATTATCATAATTTTTTAGATCTGTTTTACTACATTTATAAATTCGAAACTAATGAAATGATTATGTTCAACGAAACAAAGAAAGAAATTAGTGAACCTAAACACATTGGGATCATAAGTAGACTCATAGTAATGAGATGCTTGCGACTAGACAACTAATAAAGTCATTTGAACTACTAATATTGGTTTTAAAGATCACCTGTTGAGTCTTTTCAATGTTCAATTTATGCTCCTCTTCCTTTGTGAAATAATAATGAAACTTTCTCATTTTCATTAGTTGGTGTCAAATTTTAGTCTGATATGTCTAAAACTTCTACTCTGTTTTTGGTGTTATATTTTGAGGATAAATTCACAGGAAACCCTAAAACAAGGCACATTTATAACTATATGAAAACTGGCATTCTGTCATTGATTTCAACCTGTATCACTCAGTGCGAATGTCAGCGACTTTATCATTAAGCTATTTTAGACATTAGTTAAGTCTTCATATTAGACTAAATAGACCTGTTACTAGTTGGTCTAGGCACTCGAACATCAGTCAGTGGATCACAGATTTGAACACTGCTATACCTATCTAAGCCTAAGTATCCAGGTGGTATCAATAATCCTCACAAAATATGTGTGACTCACCGCCTACTACATGAAAATGCACTTAGTTGTTAAATTCATTCCCCTTTCTCTCTCTCGCTCAAGGATCAGTTACCATTAGGTAGTCGATTTAGTTATCCAGTCCGTTTTGCTGTCAGGTAATATCATACCTTAGCGTAGCTATATAAAACCCATTTATAGCATAAATAGATTCCATAGTCATCGACTCATAGTGCTCATATAATATGCATCGGTCAGTATATAGTTGACGTAATACTCATCCATTTAATTCATTCTTAACTTATGTGTTTTTGTTGTGCTTTGCTACTGACGCATTTGCTTTGTTTTTTTACCGCATTCTGTAGAATGTTATGTCTGACAAATGGTTAAATATTGGCTATGAAGATAATATCTTGAAACCGTATATTGAACCACCACCTGATTATAATGATAAAGAAAGATTGGGTGAGTTATTGAAATTTAGCGTTGCTTTTGCTATTTATATCATCCTTTGATATTTGCCAACAAGTATACTCGTGTATTTGTGCACTGTTTCTATACGTATATTGTTGATTTGGGGCAAAAGGTACTAGACAAGCAAAACGTGTCAATTGATGAGGTTGTGAACTGTAGTCGACTAAGGTGGCTTGGACATTTTCTGCTTATGCTTAGCCACCCCGCACCTTGAAATGCCATGCTAGAGAAAGTTGGATTAGATTGGACTAGGGTTCAGGGTAGCTAGACCAAGACGTGACACTAGTCCATGAAGTCTATGTCGGCCTGAGCCCCCTGTCGGAAGATGTAGACTATCTGGTTGGAGTTTTGGTTGAGGCCTCTCTGTGACGTGGATGAGAATTGGTCACAATGGTGCAGATGTATTCAATCTTTAACATCTTCTAAAGGTTGAACATTTTTACTAACCTTTGCTTCAGATTGCTTATTCTCTCATACAACTTTGTTGAATCTGATATCACTATTTTTCTGTCCATTTGTTATTTATGTACTACTGTGAAGTGTGGTAAGTTGAGCCGATGAAGTTGTGTGCGAGATTCTACGTTGATTTTGTCAGTCAATATTTGGAGCAATCAGTTTATCAGTTAGTTGAATCTTATTTATTTGATGTAATCAGTAACAGCTGATAGAGCTATATGTTAGTGGAGTAGCTTTCAATGGACTAAATAAACTGCTGTTCCATACGATTAGTAAGAATGTCTATCAATGATCGATTGTATTGTAACTATCCACATCATTTTGTTATTGTCATCTAACTGGTGTATTCTTATGCCTTTAAAAATGTTTTTTAATTTTTTTCACGCATAAATCGAGGTTATTTTGGTCACTGTTGACTGTTTTTGTTGTCCAACCTCAGCATAAAGAGAAGATTTAAACTGATCAAGCCTAGTTGCATTTTACCACTGCTCAAAAGCGTAATAGGATACCATTGTTAGTGAATTTAACGATTGATCAGGTGTATTATTAACCTTCATCACTACTATAAGGATCTTTTGCCTTCTGTATCTACCGTTGTTTCTGCGCAATTTATACTTGGTTATTAAGTTGCCACTGTGAAGTGAATGCTTTTTTTGTTGTGTGCTCCATCTCTTGTCACTTATGTCCAGTGTAATGATGTTCATTCACCTCCAGGTTTCACTTGTTGATTGATACTTTGGAGATAGTAATATGAGGACAGATACTCTCTGATGGGATTGAATGACATCCTCGGTATGTTGCGAGTTGACAGAAGTAGGAAAACGTGGACCATTGGATTCCAACCCAATAACTAAGTCGTAACGCGCATGCTGCGAAACCTAATGATCCATAGTGAGGTCGTGTGCCCGCATTACTTTGGAGTTTCACGCTGGAATGAAACAGGTATCCAAATGCTCCCATAGTTTTCAATGATTCTTCAACTGATGTCATTAGAGGAAGAATACTACTGTGTAATCTGATTGGTTCTGAATTTGTGTAGTGATTTTTAAGGTATATTTAAAGATTTGCGGGAGTCCTATCACTTCTACATAAACATAAGGCGAAAGAAAATGAATAACAATAGAACGAAAGTAACTTACCATGTCGATAACAAGAAGGATTCGATTATAGTAATCTATGAAATACTGGTCGCATGTGAACAGTGACACAAGATATAAGCAATATCTTCAGGTTGAACATAGAAATATGAATAGTAGTAACATTTGTAAGACATTCGTTAAGAGTGTAAAGTTCTTATGCGTTAGGTGTGGTGTGATCCAGCCATCACCTACCGTGATGTGTCATGAAAAGGTACAGTAGGATTGCAAGGAACACAAGTGTCAGTGGTTAAGTCCGGTTTATAAATTAATCAGTCATTAAGTGACTTGGTTTGAACTGTGCCGAAAAGTATTTCTAGCTTTGTAATTAGCTTCCACGACATGTCAGATAGATGATATCAACATAGAACCTCACACATAAGTTCAATTTGCCTCACTTCACAAGTGTATACAAAGAATAAGCGGATAGAAAAAGAGTGAGATCAAAGTAGATAAAGGTGTATCGGACGAGATAGAATTTGAAATTATGGTTAATCAAAACATTCAAGCTTAAGAAGAAATGAAAGAGAAAGTAAATCTGCGCTTTACTGACCCATTTCCAGCCTTTTCCTCAAGAGTCCTCAACCAGGGGCCCTATCCAGGTAGTCTACGCCTCTCCACACGGCCAAGACCAACAATCAGGGACTTGGTGTACTGGTACTGCATTTGGGTCTGGTCACCCTACTTCAGTTTACAACCTCATCAACTGACTAGCTTTCCTTGCCTGGTACTCTTCACTCCACCACAACATTACTCACATGGTGATTCCACCATGCGTGAACAATGCTACTAAGACAAGTAATCAAAAACCAGTAATCTCTTTATATCTCCTACTTTTAACTGCCATATCTCATAAGTGTATAACAGGATATAACGGAGTGCAGTGTAGAAAACTCGTTCTTCAATAGGTTATCGAATATGTTGTTGTTTCCAGAGATGACGCAAGTTGATAAATCTCACTCACTATTTGATCATTTCGCTTTGTGTGAACCATAAAACCACCCATTCCCAGTACTTTGCATAACCTTATTGATAGTTTTCTCTGTACATTGTATCATTTGGTGCTTTCTTTCTTAAGTGAGATGGAATCGCTTCCATTTTGTGTTTATTCTTTGGTTTCATTTTTATCCTTTTCTTTCTTGTATCATTTAGAAATAATGCGCATAATGGGTTATCGTCCTGAGGATGTACGTGAAGCTTTGGTGAAACAGAGTTTTAATAATGTTACCGCAATCTATCTACTATTAGCTGATCCTAAAACAAGGTTGACACTGCCTGCGGGTAGTTTAATATCATCTTCTCAGTCACAATCATTACGTGGAAATAATACACTCAATCATCAATCATCTGAAGTTGTTGAAGAACAAACTACCTCATCATCGAATGTTAAATCATCTTTAGATAAAACTAACGGTGATAATACAACTAACACTAGCAACAGTTCAAAATCCAATCAAAATGGATTAACTCAGAGTAAAAGTGAGTTCATTCAATGAGTATTGTGTATGGTACTAGTATGAAGTATGTTTATTCCCTAATCAATAATAATAATGCCGTGGTTCACGCATTTAACTTTAGAAATACATATACATTTGATATAATTAGTCGACAGTCAATCGATATCAGCAATATTGTACATATTCATACAGTAACAGGATGGTTAATGATACTACCTGGCTGCCGTTACCTTGATGATAGGTGAAGCTTGGTTCAAACTCGTTACCCATCGGTTGGAAATCAGGTGACTATATCAATGAGCTACAGCTTCACATTATTAGTGCTTACCACAGAAATGAATTTAGCAGTGTTTTCAACTATCTATGACCTAATAGGGTTGAGTTTCTCACAACTGTGAGCTAAATAATTAACAGTCATGTATTTATTAGCAATATATGAAACTCTGTATTAAACTCCTAATATTTTTTTAAATGTACAAGTGACTGTTTGCCTTGATCGGTCGATTTTTAAGCAGTAAATCTCGAATTTAGATCTTACTTCATCTATTTTAGGCTGGGCAACCAGACGGTGTCATTATAGCCCTCATATACTAGTTATGCCTCATAGTTTAGTGCATACATCTATGCTGCATGGATTAGTAACGATAAGTTTTTAATATTTTTAAATGTGTGTAGTTTGAGTCATATGTACTTCATTGTTTCTGTCAGTCACTATTTATCTAAACTGTTATTGTTGTTTATTGTGACCTTTTGTTTTACTTTTTTCGTACCTTCATAACTATTCTTTTCGGAGGTTACTGTCTTCTTTTGATGGTTATGAAGGTGACTTTGTCTAAATTACTCTACTTGTTGTGTTTGTGATGTATTTATCTGAGATTGTCTATCCAGTGTCAACAATTTGACCTTCGTTTAGGTGTATACCTTTGTTGAATACAGCCACTGAAATTAGACTATATTAGGAATGTTGGGTAACCGAAGTCTTTGTAATGTAACACTGTTTCGATGACTTAAAGTTTAAGAATAAGAAGCAATGGATAAGCATATTGAGGTGTGGATGAGGCGTATTTTTGATTGTTCAACTACCTGAGACCCTTATGAACTAACGTTTTGGCCAGACAGAGAAAATCCTTTCCTAGAAAGATGAGTAATTTTTTGGGGGAGTTGGAGAATCATAAATTTGGTAGGTTTTGTGTTTCCAAGAGTGTTGAATGCACACAGTATTAGTTAACATGTTCTTATTTCTTATTATTCTTTAAAAAGGTAGCAGAAAAAATCGATAATTTACTAATTATTTTTGATCTGTCAAAATTTAAGGTATTCCAGTTTGACAGAACACTTGCATGTTTGTTACGAGAACTGGGTACGACCACTTGTTGGGTCAGGGAAAAGTACCTCTGAGGAATCCTTTACTAGGACGAAACTCCTGTTCGGTGCTACCAGGTTTGCAATATTTCTTAAACTGATATCAGTTCTAGATGAATACTGTCGTCAAAATCAATCAATCAGTTTACGCTAACCATCAATAAATTAGTGGAAGATCAAGTTTTAACCAATTGCTTCACATTAATGATGGATCGTGGTTAGCAGTGGGATGCAGGATGCGCATTTCGTCCTATTTGGGACTCGCCAGCTGGATGTACCTGCTTCCCAGTGAGTGATGTTGTTCCCACCGGGATTTTGGACTCGGGAGCGATCACTTCAAACGCCAGGGCGTTATCCACTACACCACCGATCCACGATAGCCAAAAAAATTATACTAAAACTATACCTGTCGCAAAAGAAGTGGCTATCGTGGATCGGTGGTGTAGTGGATAACGCCCTGGCGTTTGAAGTGATCGCTCCCGAGTCCGAATCCCGGTGGGAACAACATCACTCACTGGGAAGCAGGTACTTCCAGTTGACGAGTCCCAAATAGGACGAAATGCGCATCCTGGATTCCACTGCTAGCCACTATCCATCATTACTATCATAAGAGCACAGGTAATATTGAGGCATCCGCACAGGATCCCATATGCCAATAGAGACTGATCAATTCGGTCCAACCAATGACGGTATCATATTAAAAAAAACAATTATACCAATTGCTTCATAGTTGCAAATAAACTTCAGCTCTGACAATTGGCTTGTATAATTTGCAAGTATCCAAAGAATTGGACTTATGATATTCTTGCCGATTTGCTTGTCGTAAACACTTATATACGGCATACCTTTTTACACACAATTTTTCTTTAGGCCACTAAAGAAATCTGAGGCTTATTTTAGTCTGGTTGTCTACGTGTACATCAGTTTTGTTCCGAAATATGGTATATATAGACATTGAATTTTCTACTAGTTGATTGTGAGTTTGCGGCTTACTTCATTGTTAGACAGTTAGCTTTCATACAGTAAATGTTGCTGATTCCCCTACGCTGAAAGCTGAACGTTGTAACTAGTTTGCACTACCATTTATTAGAATATTACAGTAGATTGCACATGTTTTATTTTACTTGGTAACTGACAGTAAACAACGGTCAGTATCGAGACATCCTTATAGAGAAACACCTCTGCCAACAGACATCAAGTAATTCGATCCACTGTATCAACGGGATATTACAAGTATCAATCAAAGGGTGGTTATCTCGAAAAGATTATTAAAAGAAATCGGTAGAATTACTTCAGTTAATATGATTGACAATTATGTATAGGTTTGGTCTGCATAGTTGAAAATCATCACGACAAGCTCTTTCTCCTATGGATCCTATAGTCATCCAATTACAACAACCTTTTCTAGCTAGAAAAAAAAAGCTTCATTCTTCGGTGATGGTGAGACTTCCTAATTTGTACCATTAAATTGATTCTTTGGGAGATGCACTTACTATTGTTGTATTGCTAGACAGTCAGTAGTAGAACTTCTCTTTTTATACTGTGATTACAATATCACCTTTAAAACTGAAACAATCACTGTTCACATTATGGTTGACGAACTGATTCAGTCATTTTCATAACCTAATGAAGTGGAGCATTGTTTGAACTTCTATTGTTTTAAAATCCATTGTCTAATCCAGTGAGCCACTATGTTATCTCAAGTATCGATTTTATCATCCTGACTTCATTTTTTCTCTTGGTCATAAGTGTATACTCCTCAGAAAGTTCTATATTAAGAAGAAATATATATCCAGTACCCCCACATGTTGATTGCTTCTTCAACTGATGTCAATCGATGATGCAGAAAGTTACCTTGAGATTACTAGTGATGTACACATGTTAGTTGCTTTGTTAAAGCAAATCAAACCTTCATCTATTGGGTTATGCATTGAAACTTCATCTTACTAAATAACGTTCAAACAGTTAGACAAATTTTGTCAACTTTAAAACTGACTTTCTGCCCAGCGCGTATGCAAAGCGCGCGTTTCGCCCTATTTGGGACTCATCATCCGGACGTACCTGCACCTCAGTTACTGACATTGTTCTCACTGAGACCCATCGTTTCAAACGCCAAGGCCTTATCTACTAGTCCACCATTTTGAAATCATCATTTATGCCGTTTAACTAGACTGTTTGTCCACATTTTCACCAGTCACTGAGTTGATTTATTTCGAAAAGATAAGTTGAGCAGTGAAATATCTTAATTTACTGTCGTCAAACTAACACTTGTATGTAGGTGCATTGAATCTGAACAACATGACAAAAAATTTCCTGCCATCAACCTCAGAACTGTTTTATTCCTCTGGGCAAACCTAGCGGAGTTTCTTTTTTTACCAATAAAGGTAGATAACAGTCTTTTAGAAGATGTAATTCCTATGTAATTGCTCACGTATGGTGAGCAATATCGGGGTTCATCGAAAGATACTAGGCAAGTAAGGAAAGTCGATGTATGAGGTTCTTAATTTTCAGCGATTGAAATGGCTTGGGCATGTTTTGCGCATGCTGAGCCACTGTTGACCTTAATGTAAAGTGCTAGTAGAAGTTGGAGTGGATTAGAATAAGACTCAGGATGGACAAACCAAGACGTGTCGCAATTGCATAAAGTTCCTTACTGTCAGTCTGAGCCGTGTAGGGAGATGTAGACTACTTGGCTGGCCCCCCTGAGACAATGGAAATTATTGGTTGAGAACTCTTGGTGAAAAGGTCGATAATCGGTGCATATGTATTTACTTCGTGACGTCATCTAAAGCTTGAATATTTTTAGTAACCTTGACCTACAAATTGATTACTCTCTCACACAACCTTATTTTATTTGATATCATTTTTTCTGTCTTGTTCTTTATATACTACTGTGAAGTGTGCCAAGTTGAGCCGATGCAGTTGTGTACGAGGTTCTACGTTTATTTTGTCTTCCTGTTTGTCTGATAAGCTTCTAGTTACCTACCTAGAATTTTAATAATGGAGATATAAGGAATAACCTTCAATCTACTTTCAGCCTGACTTCATTAAGTAATTTGCTTCATGCCGATTGCATCCATCCAACTAACAATTTATTCAACTGTCGTGTAAATGACTGATCTGTGTTACTTTATTAATTTTTTATGAAAATAGTTACCGGTCATATTTCCTTTCCCTAGTGAAAATAGAGTTAGATAATATGGGGGAAATGTATTTTAAATTGTTTAGTAGACTGTCTATGATTATTTTTCTTGAACGGTTAATTTGGTATAATTCACATTTTTTAAAATTATTCTTCTATGGTTCAGTAATGATAACATGCATACGAAGCAGACATATGTCATTAGGTTTAGTGTGCTTATTGTCTTCATACGTCTTCGTGACCAATTTCCATTCATCTTGGATTAGATTTCCGAACCCTACTAGGTTTTCTGATTTATTTTTTTTCGCTGTTTGTAGTCCAATATATTCACTAAGTTATGTCGTTGTTTGTCAGGAAGAAATACATTTCACCCTGGGATTTGAATTATATTCAGTGGGAAAAGAGTGATTACTTTCTGGTTGTATTGTGTTCTCTGAACTGAGTTGTTTAGTCGTGGAGTTTTCATTGTCTAGAAAGACGAGTGATTACTTGTCATAGTATTCGGGGTCTGTAGACAG